TTTCTTCTTTTTTGCCTTACTTCTCTAAAACACCAAGAGTCATCTCCCAGATTGCTCTTTATATGTGTGTTCTGAATTATCAACTTCCACCCACTGGGCTAAGAAACACTGTTGTGCTTCCATTGCTCTGATTGTAATTCTACTTCTTTCTTGAGAAAAAAAAAAAAAAGAAGTAAAAGTCAGCTAGTATAAATAAGTAATATGCTCTGTTTACAGAAGTAGAGCAGTGCCAGGAACAATTTGGGCTTTTAACTGAATCATCTGACCTTGGTTTATATGATAATGTCTTGGGAGAAGAGACTTGTCTACATATGCATATCAAGACAAATGTCTTAGTGTTCAGTAGATTTAGTCATAAAGTACGAACCCCAAAAATTTATAGAAATGTCAGATATGTCTTAAGAAAGAAAAAATGTAGTCTTGATGGCTTGAGAACTTTTTTTTTTTCTCTTTGAAGTAATAACTATCTTTTTTTGGCTGAGACTTCCTGATAACTGAGAAACACATTTCAAATGCTAATGTCATACTGAGACAGTTCTGACCACACAGTATGAGATGGAACAGGCTGAGTAACTAGGCTGACATTTAATGTGAGTGGTATTAGTGTGGGGGTACTTCTAAGTACAGCTGTCATCATGAGCTGGTTCCCAGGGTAGGAGGAGAGTAAGGTATCCAAATAAATCATGGTGACAGCTCTGAGACGGTGTCTCAGGCTTGAGCACAGGTCTGATTGCTTACTGAATACGTGATGCCCCTCTGTTCTCAGAATGCTAGAGATGGCTTCCCAAGTAGCTATATTTCAATCTCCTTCCTTTCTCAGTACATATGATCAGCTTTCCAAGTAGAGATACAGTACACTCCAATTTTAGTGAACCGTTTCATCTGAACGGAGATATCCTGAATATTCAAAAAAATGAGGTTTGCCAGCTATCGCTATTGCTCCTGTCCATGCAATGAATGCAATAAACTGGTTATAAAGAGGAATGTTGAACTGCCTCAAATGTGAGGCACCACCCAACCAGCATCTGCATAGGAAGAAATGACATTTTTGTCAGTGGATTGTCTTTCTCTGAAAGGGTCCAACAGATCTGCAGGCAGCTGTGAAACTCTTGCAGGCATAAGCAATGGGAGAGACCATCTTCTATACTGATGGCCCAAAGCCAACAGAAGAAAGATTGCATTCATCTTTCAGGGCTGTCCTTTCCTTGGCTCAGACTCCCAACAGTGATCCAGAAGCTAACCAAAACTTTGGGCTTAGAACAGGGAGCAATTCACTTGGAAGCAAAAATATTTGTTAATTCTTCAGTGATCAAAATGCTGACTGCACTGGAACCAGCAGTAAAAGTAGCTCAGCTTTTGCAAATGGTTTTATTTTTATTCAGAGCTTGTTTCTAATACTACCTGGAATAACTGCGGAACTTTCTGTCAAGTGTTCAAAAAAAGCCTTTTTCCATTTCAAATGCATTCATGGTTTTTAAAGGCCCTATACCAAAACACGGCCACCAACTCCTTACTGTCCCCCGGCATTATTTCTGACTAAAAGCAATACTGTGCTGTCTCAAATCTTGTGATGTCAATTACAGCTGTGCAAAATTAGTATAAAAAGTCAGGCTGGTGGTGCTTTTGTGGTGGTTGTTGCTACTTGGCTTCATGTGCTTACTCAGACACAACATGCACAGCCTTCTACTCTCATCTTTCAGCTATCTATCAAGCTTAGACAGCTCGACAGCGCTGTGCTAATACCTGCCTTGGGAGAAGCCAGGAGGCATCTTTTCACTGGAGCAGGTGGGGTTAGACCCAGGCTTCAGGAATTTATCTTTGCTGGAATATAGTTAGAATTGTAATGAATACAAAGTAAAGTCTGAAATTAAGGAGTTTCATATCTTCATCAGTTACTATAACACAGAAAACTGATTTGCCCTGATGTGCCACAGAAATATTCATATTTCCTGTTCTGTCCTTCATGACATACAAATACCTTAAAATAATCACATATGTATGTATGCATGTATGTTGTATGTGGTAATTAAATCTTACAGGTGAACAGTTTTGCACCATTTGAACAAAACGGAAGAGCCCTTTTCTTGGTGCACAAAGAAAAGACAAAAGAAAAGAGAAAAGAGAAGAAAAGAAAAGAGAAAAAAGAAAAGAAAAGAAAAAAAAGAAAAGAAAAGAAAAAAAGAAAAGAGAAAAGAAGAAAAGAAAAGAAAAGAAAAGAAAAGAAAAGAAAAGAAAAGAAAAGAAAAGAGAAAAGAAGAAAAGGAAAGAAAAGAAACCATGATAAATCAGCTCATGACAATGAAGTATCCCAGTGCTGACACAGGAGCAGAGCATGAGTTTATTAAGCAAGCTGTAAAAATAGCAAAAGAATGAGTTTTACATAAAATGAAACCACTTTCAGTACACATTTAGTATTATTGTCTTTGTTATCCAGTATGTACAGCCCATGTGTTTTGTGCTTATCTTCAGGAAATTCAAAAGTATATTCTGAGAGGTCATCAAAAGTCACTAAAAGGAACAGTGAAGCACAGTTAGGCAGGATAGTTTAAAACAGTTCACTGGGATTCACCAGAAAATACACAGAGGAGGCAACTTAGCCTTGAAAGAGCTTGGGGATGTTGGTGATCATGATTTTTTGGCCATTATATTTGCCGAGGGTTATGTGTATTTTATTTCACTGAAATGTCCACTCTTTTTTTGCATGTACATTTTGGCCAGGCAGAAAAAGAAGAATTTGGGCATTTGTCTAAATTTCTAAATGTTGGGCATCCTGGAAGTCTTAGTGATGTTGCAAATATACACAGGTTACTAACGTACTGCTCCAAATCTCACCTCCAGCAAAGATGCTCATCAGATGCGCTAGGCTTTATAGAGAAATTATCTTCAGACACTGAAATACATTGTGAAGAGAGACTTCCTACTCAGGCATGAACATCCCTCACTCTCTAAATATAGGCAGATATCCGAACTATTACATGCACTACTGTGTCCTTGCAACTGGAATCATATCAAGAAGGAAATGAAAGTAAAATTTTGCAACATATAGCAATAACTGCAGCACAAATGACAGCAAAAGTCATTTTCCTGCTATGCATTAAATTCACTCTAATGGCAAAGGACCGCAAGTTTGGCGAGATAAAAGGAAAGCAAAAGAAGGCAAAAGAGATAATAATTTGAAAGTGGAAGTAGCAGCCTCCGCTTCTTGGGGTGCGAGAAGAAATGAAAGGGCTCAAGAAGAAATTAGCTTCTCTGGTTTGAATGTGAAGGCAAATATTTTAGAACAATAAATCAAGGACAAGAGCATGTGAGAGGCTGAGAACATCACAACTCTCTGAAGCACCTGATAGTGAGTCTGGCTGCACAAGATTGAAATGTGTTTGGTACACAGAGAAGGAATGATTTTGCAAATACCTATTTACTGTAGGAAGATGATTGTATATTTCATGTCTATCCAACAGCATCCTGTGCCTCCCACTTGCCAATTAAGTCATTCACCAAAAACAGATTGCTTTCCTAATTACAACGTTTGATCCCTGGACAGTGTTGAAAATCCTTTTTTATATTTCTGTAAGATTTATGGGGAACTATATTCATGTGGGTGTATTGAGACTCATTGAACAAATGCATCATTAGTAAGCATTTAAAGCATTGTGATATCTGCACAATCCATCAGGAATTCAAGAAACTTAACTGCAAAAAAAGCACAAAGACTGACACAGTTCCATTTCAGTGTCTTCTTAGAAAATGCACATTCCCTTTGGAAAGTGTGAGGTAAATGCACAAATACACAGGAACACCCAAGTATTCTACATGTCTTCTTACTCTTTTTGTGATTATTCAGTAACTAGGACCTATGTTTAACGGGGTAATTGGATCATCAGCACCAGAAGCAAATAAAAACCCTATAATACGTTCAGTCAAAACTAATGATGGAATTCCAGAGCCCTGTGGATCACTCTGTCTTCAGCGTGCCTTGGGATTTGAAAATCCAGCTATAAGCTGACAGAACACTCGATAAATGATGCCATGGGAAGTGGTCTCATGACTTCATTAGTCTTTCTTATCTTCACTGGATCTGTCACGCAGCTCTCCACGCTTCACTTACGGAGCAAATATACTGCCTTTGCGCTAGGGTATTTGTTATAGGGGACGGGGCAAAAAGCAATTGAGGATGATTATATAATCTGTAATTGATGGATCCTTTTCTGAAAGGTCCTTTAGAATCGACTAGACTAGACTAGTAACAGTAGCACTTTATCTCCTTACTCCTGAATAACAGGTAAGAAGAAAGTTTCTTTGAGTTTCTTAAAGGGCTCACATGACCTTACTACAGGGACAACCTTTAGTGTATCACAAAGACGCTGTGAGATTGTGATCAGTCCCTTGAAGGGATTCCAGTTTATAGATGAAATTAACTGAAATGCTGGCATATCTCCAGCAGGGAGTAGAGGACAGTGCAGAAATTCCTGGGCCAATTACATCCATGAGGTTCAGCGCGACACCTTAAAGAGAAACTATCCAGGAGCACCAAAATGGGATAACTATCATCAATGGTGCACTATCTGATCCAATAATCCTGCCTCCCAGCAAAAGCTAATTGGGTTGGGCATGGGGATGTTCTAGAAGTCCACAAATTCTGGCAGAAAGCTCCACTGCAACGTACAGATAGGTGTATTTATCAGGGGGAAAACAGTGACCAGGTTAGGATGATCTGTGACAGAGGAGGAGGTAAGTTCAGTCCACCCTGAAGAGCCTGGATACCGCTCCGCTCCGGTAGTCAAAACAAAGAGGGCGGTAGAACGCGTCCTTGACAACAGCGAGCATCAGTTTGTTGTGGCAACAGCACTTAGGAGGTCAGCCAAGGGCCAAGGTCAGAACCTCTGCAGTCACTGTCTCGTGTTCTTTGAACTGGGACAGCTGGTTTCACATTTTACGTGTGGAAATCCTGTGAAGAGATTGTTGCCTTCTGTTTAACCTGCTACCTGCTCCGCCTTTGGACATCAGTTAGCCATGGTAATCAGCTTGCTTTACTTTCTTCCTCTTCTGCGCCTCTTCCTCAAACTCAACAAAACCCAATTATCTTACTTGCATAAATCTTTTAGCAGATGTAAAATCTATGCCCTATATCACTTTTATAGAATGAAGCAAGTACTGTGAGCCTGGAAACAAGAGGCTGAACTCTTAGTTCACAGGCTGAAATGTCTACCTAGCTGTGGTCACTTAAAAGGATAATGTGGATTTCTGTCTAATGACTAGACGTACCCTGCAAGTTCTGATCTGATGATGCTGGAGGCAGTAAGAAACTCCCTAGGCTGAAGTAGATTTTCAGTCAAGGTTTATTTCCAGAAAAGCAAAGCCATCCTTATCTGAGCTGCGGAAAGATATTGATTATGTTACGTTTTATAGAAGCGTGATATACTATTCTTACTTCTTGGGGGCCAGCTCCACAGGTTACTGTAAGGGGAACTGACAACAAATTCTCTGCTTAAAAAGCCTTCAAGTGAGATTTTCAGGTCTGCCTCCAGGCCTATATCCAGCGATTTATTTTTTTCATTCATACCTAGGCGAGGAACACGATGGAATGGAAATGAGAGCTAAGCCCCTAGACACTTTCCTATGGGCTCCAGTATGCCCTGTGTGTACGTACCCACATTCTCAGAGTCGTTCCTGTTCTTGCATCTAGAAGGGTCACCTGCTTCATTGTCAGCACAGAGCTATGTCCGTTCTACGTTCTACTCTAGAATGTCCCTGGAGGTGCTTTGGCATCAGTGGAGGGCCCCTGTCTTAAGACAGGAACCCTGTTTGCTAAAGACCAGAAAATACAAGGAGATTTGGAAGAAAGCTCTGATCTAGAAGAATCAGGATTTTCTTTCCAAACAGTTATGGTAGAGCTTAAAGAAAATCAAAAAACTCTAAAACTTACTTCCCAGAAAGCCCAGAAGCAGCAGCATGAAAAGATGGTAAGTGGAAAATAAAATTCTTCCAGATGTAAAACTACAGTGCATCATGGAAGATGTAGATCAGCCAGGAAACTGAATCTGCAAAGGAAAGTGAGGATTGTGAGACATTAGAGTTTATTCTCAGAGGTGAAGGACCTCAGTAGCTCCCGTCTTTATAGATTAACATCAAATTCACAAAATGTAAAATCCTTTCACTTGGTCAAAAGGGCCATAGTGTTTGGTTTTAACCAGCCAGGCCCTCATTAAATGTTGTCAAAATTTTCTTCACTTTTTCAAATCAGAAAATTTTTATATGGTGGATATGTCATATTTTGTAAGACGACATTCAGTGGAAGATTTCCAACTTTAGGAAGACCATTTTTAAAGGGAAATAATGGATATTAGGTAACTCTTGAGTCATTATACAAATGTGTGCATAATCACTTGAACGAATATTCAGGTTGACTTAGATGACCATATTCTATTTTCAACTATCAGCTTAAATATTAATTTATCCTCCCTCTATCTAATTTACTGCAGAAAGACATCGCAGGCACTTCAACATTGTCTTCCAGTTCAAACAATGAAAAGGAGAGCATGGACGCTAAGCGTCCTATAGGATGTTTGGATATGGGAGAAACCAGCAGTTCGCAGTCAGAAGTGTCCACCGAAACAGAGGAGGTCTGTGACCAGAAGGTGAAAGGAATTCATCTTGAGCTTGAGAGGCTGAGGTGGCATTTTGTGCTGACTAAACTGAAATGTGAACAGGAGGATAAGGAAAAGCAAAGGCTTCATGAAGAGAGAATGGAGCAGATTCGTCATCAGGCAGTAAAAGGATCGGTAAGTAGGCAAACACAAAAAGGGATGAACACAGTAAAGACTGATTCTAAATCATCAGAGTTTTAGAGGTACTTGCAGCGTTTGCCTTCTCTTGCAGATTCTGTGCTCTAAATCAGGACAGGATAGGAGGGTATGTTTTACACACTCATTGTAGCATGCATGTTGTGGTTGTACATAGGAGCTCAGATCACACACAAGAATGGCACTGAGCTACGTACCAGATAATCTCTGAAGTTTTCCATATATATTTATCGATTTATTCATATAGCTAATCCATAGTCCTGGATAGGATCTCACAGTTAGGTGAAGTAAATGTAGTTCCAATGAAATCAGTGAAGTTCTATCAGAGAAAAACAGTGAGGATCAGGTCCAATATATATTTTGCTAGATTACTGACATGCATCTGGATTAAACAAATTAACTACTGGATTTTCATATTAAATTAAGCCCATGAACATGTGTAAAGGTGTGAAATGGCCACACAGTGGAAAACCATAGGCAACAGTTTATTCCACAGATGTAGAGACAGATGCACAAAAGCCTTACCGTGGATGTGCACTCACTTCACATGACCTGCTTTGTGTACCTGCACACTAGTTCTTGCAGTAAATATGAGGTCAGTCACCTTCATTTCAAAGAGAAAAAGCTTAACTTATGCTATGGGTCTGGTGGGGATGTGACATTTGCCACTGAACACAGCATAGCTGATGCACTTTCTATTCACATGCTGGCATATCTCACAGCAACTTTTCATGAACTGAGCGTGCCAGAGGGCCAGGTGTGCTCAGAGAAGCATGGAGTGGATGTGTGACACAATGTGTGTCTTTTCCTTTTTCTGCAGGTCAGCGAAGGACTCCAAAACGTTCTCCAGCCCTCGAACCAATATGCCTTGTTCCTTTACTGCTTCATCGTCTTTCATGTTATTTATACTTTAAAGGAGCTGGTCTTCTACGTTTTCCAAATGCATTACCTGTTCTGTTTTGCTATTGTGTACTACATTCTTAAAATTATTTTCCAAGATTACAGAAATAACAATAAATTTTCTTAAGAAAAGCTGCTTGTTCTACTCTTTTTGCCGCATTTTTGCTGCTTTTTTATTATCACTACGCCAATCATACATGCAGGATTTCAGTATCATTACATGCCTATTTAAGGAAAACCAACTGATTTCCTGAAGAAAATTGTCACTGAATGGCATCATCTGGTTTCATGCTGTCTCACCAACATGTTTAGCATCATTCCGGAGCGTTCATCCATGCAAATAAAGGTACACACAATAAGAAATCATTTTGGAACATTTTCTATTTTATCTCGCCTCCTTGGATTAGCACAGTGACTTGATCTTACCTATAATGAATTATCACAGAGAGGTTTCACAGTTGTGTTTATTAGCATGGAGGGAGATGCTCGAGAGAATTTAATGATCTGTTTGCTACCATGCGCAAAAGTGGCAATGAGACATTGCTTGCTGTAGTTAAGGCTTACATACACACATTTAGAGAACTAGACCAATCAAAAATAAGTGAATAAAAGCTTTACCCAGCTGCAGTTCCTCTTTTTCCAGCAAAAGTAACCATTAGCTCTTGCTGAAATCCCAGGCCCCTTCAGCACTTTAGGATTTCTGTGGAAGGCAGTGATTCGACTTTACTTTTTTTTAAGTGACTGAAGACCTCTAAATAAGCTGCTCTCAAATCTGTGCTTTTCCTTCACTAAAATAATGAGAATGTCACCCAAACACTGGAGAGAAGTCTGTCCTTTGTTTTCTGCTGAATCTGAAAACACTGCAGATAGCCTGGATATAAATATGGTTTGCAATAGCACAAGTGACTTTGAATGCTTCTCTTCATTGTTGGTGACTCTTGGATTTTAATCAACAGAGGTTGTATGAATCTGTATGAATATTAAGTCAAATTACAGCTACAAATATAGAACCATAGAACTCTCCCCCTTTATTCCACTTTGAGCAACGTGGTCTAGTGGAAGGTGTCCCTGTCCACAGCAGGGGGTTCAAACTCGATGAGCTTTAGGGTCCCTTTTAGCCCAAACCATTCCATGAATCTGTGGTGTAATGGTTTGGGTTGGAAAGGACCTCAAAGCTTCATCTAGTTCCAACCCAGTTAGTCACAGATGCGAGACCACTAGAAGTTCCACAGCACAGTCTGCACAGAAATGCTATTTTGGAAGCTCTTTCAATGCCAGCTTTCGGGGAGAGGCAGAAAGAGTTATTAGTCTTTTGCATTTTATTTACTGCGCACAGGAGATAATACTAAATAGCCTTAAGACAGCTGCCTCACCATACAGGCATATTCCAAACATTCCCATATCCCCACCTAATCAAGGAAGAAAATGGGTTTGCCTGTCCCTAACAGGTGTTCTCTCGGCCCTCATGGGTACCCATGTTATACTTTTAAACATACTCCCACATTGATGAGAACTAGAGGTTTTTCTTTAAGTGGCAATTTCTGTGCAGCTGCCTGCCTTCTGGCAGCTAGAGCTCAAAAAACTGCTGAAAATCGTTGTAGGTGAAGTCTTAACAAGTATCCATACAGCAAAGAACAGAATAATGCAAGCTCCTCCTTAAACGCTTCAGGTCCTCTGCACTTTGGTCAGCTCTTGCCCTTCACGGGAGTGACAAATACACCCTTTGAGCTGCCTGGCTGTGCCCTGTGCCCTTACTTTTACAACAGTAGGCACACTCATCACAAAGTACACGGTTTCCTGTGAAACCACAGGAAACCGGTGGTTTCAGCTATTTTAAGCCTAAAAGGAGACAGTATTTTACAGCTGGTTTGATTTCAAGAGAACCACAAGAACAAGAGCTTTTTCACCCTCAGGGTTGCAGCATAAAGTTACCCTAGAGTTCCAGAAGCCACTCCAAAGAGCCCAAATTTCACAATTACAAATAACACATTCGAATTCCCATGTGCTTCAGCAGCTGATTTGTGATTTATTAGCACCTGAATTGGGAATTACTGATCCTGGCAAAACAAAATGTTTGTCAATTTACCTGCTACAGTCAAGGCTACATTCAACAGCATTTATCTATTGCTCTCCCATAAGAATGATACCACCTGCACCAAACCGAAGGGCGAGCTTGGAAGGGAAAGGAAGACACCAACCCACCAGCGAGCCGAAACTCATTTCATATTTAGCAACTTCATTCCGGGGCCCTCTAGCCAGCAGTGTTTCTGTACGAAAGCTGGGGGTTTTAGAAGCCTGCGAGGTCAGTTCTGTTGCAAGAGCTTTGCACAGGTTCTTTTCAGTTAGTCGGTGACTTCAGACCTCAGATTGACACCCTGAGCCCAAGCTGAGCTCCCACCTCTACACAGCCTTAACAAACCTGCTCAAAACCTTCCTCTGTCTTATTTACGTTGTTCTTTCTTTGCAGTGCAAGGCTAAGGAGAGGGGACAAGAAAAAGGGCAGTGCAACGGAAAGGAAGATCTTGCCAGCCCATCATCCACTGTTTCCACCCCCAGCGCTGAGCAGCTCAAATGAGACCCAGCTGAGACTTGTTAGAGGGCAAGGTACATCCCTGGGACCCTCTGCTCGCGCTGACCCGGTCGAGCCAGGCTAGGGGCGGTCCGAGCAGCGCTCCTGTTCTCAACGCTCGCCTGACTCAGCGGCTCCTTAGGCTTTGCCCGGGGCTCGAGTATCCTGGGATAGCCTCGGGACAACCTCGGGACCCAGCACCGGGAGCCCCGCCCCGGCCCGCCTCGGGCACCGCAGGGCAGGCTGCTCCGAGGGCAAGCAGGGAGCACGGGGAGCGACAGCAGAGGGATATCCCTGCTTGGAAAGGGACAAAGAAACCTCGGAGAGCTTCGGCACCGTGCAGGGGTGAGTGATACAAACCTTTTAATGCGAAGAAAGGGGTGTTACAGGTGGGTTTGTGCACCCTGATGTGTGTAACGTTAATTTTACATCTGCGTGATGCCGGAAGTGTTGTCCGGGTAAAACCCGTAATAATTTGTGAATAATGATTTGTCTGATGCGAGGGGTGAGGTAGGATAGGAGGAGAAAAAGATGGTTTTGCTGAGCCGCAGCAGGGTCCCCTGTGTGCTCAGGTGGGCTCCCGGCCAGCCTGAGCCTGGCAGGCAGAGCAGGGGGAAAGAGGGTGTCAGTAAAGGCAGAGGTGGGGACTCTGCCCTCCTGGTTCTGTGGAATAATTTGTCTGTGGCAAAGTGCTATACACAGTTCTGCTGCTGAGGTGAAGTGCTGCTGCTCTTCTAGGTTGGATGCTTTTGCTCCAAGTATTTTTGGGACTGGGTTAAAGGCCAGTTCTACTTGTTAGCAGTTGTGAGTAGCTAGATTCTTCAGTATGTGCACTGGGCTTAGAGGGAGTGGGGAGAAAAGACTACTGGGTCTGCTGTTAACACCTTTTAGATTAACAGAAGCTCTGCTGAACAAAACTGTTTTAGGTCCTGCTAGGTGCTCTCTTCAGCTTTATAAACCGCTTTGTAGGTTTTACAGAGCGATTTAGGCTTCCAGTTGCAATAAAGTTGTGGGGATGACTCCCTGTTGTACAAAATTAGGGTGCAAAAAGCATGTGTTTGTGTGTGTGAATGGCTGGTCCTCCATCTCAGTGGTGGGACGTGAGGCCTGATTGGGTAAGTGCCTGCAGTTGGTATGCTACCAATCACAGCTACATGTGGGCTCAGCCTCACACCTGAAACCTCGCTGGTCCTTATCAGCTTCCATTTTCTTTCTAAAGACCCAAACTAGCTGGCCTATATTACTATAATGTTCTTGAATTATCCTTTTCTTTGTGTGTGTGTTTGGCTGTATAGGGCTAGCTTTGAAATGTGTGGTCTGTTTAAAAGCGAGACACTTTACCTCTCTGCAGAAGTGTACTGTGTCTTGGAAAGAGACTTGTGTTCTTGGCTTTTCTCTAATGAACCAAAAAGGTGTTTGCAGTGCTGTGGTTAGGTTAATTAACTCTATACTTTGGGGATTCCTTCTCATTGCTTAGTGCTCCATGGGCTCAACTCCTTCAGACCACTTGAAATACCCTGCCTTGGATGGGTGTTAGGGAAATAGTAATTTGGTTTCTTGAAAGCCACGGTCTCTTGAGGTATGTTGTTGCTTTTATTGTTGTGAAGAGAATATTAAAAGCCTTTCTGTGTGCTTTCATCCAAGGACCTTGCCATGCAGGCAGCTTCTATGACACAGCCTGGTCCAGCTTTCACTGAAACCAGTGGAAATCATTCTGTAAACCTCAGTGGTAGCTGTTCTGGCTTGCAGAAGTACTCAGGAGTATTGCCACTGCCCAGGCAGATGGGATAGTATAGCAGTGAAAGTCTTGTTACAGCCACAGAATTCAACCAGGTATGCACACTGGGCAACAACTGTGATCTGAGCTGTTTGGGGTTTTCCATGGTGTTCTGTTGGCAACAGAAGCTGGTGGAGTGTTTGTTAATTTGGAGGATTTCCGAGTACTTCAGTGAGGCAAGGAAGAAAACAGTTCTGTGTTTGCTTTCATCTGCAGCCCTGAAATCACAGCAGAGAACTTAATGTCTATGAAGAATTTTCTCCCCTGGTGTTCTGTTTTGTGTGTTCTGCCCAAGCAAGTCAAACTGCTGTTGTGAAACCCTTGCTATCCATGTGGTTTGACCTTACTAGAGAAAACATTGAGTGTGTGACCTCTTTTACCAGGTCACTAAAATTGGACTTTAATGAAATTGGTCACCAACATGAACAAAGCTTCATGTGAATGTTTGGGAGAGAGAAAGGTGGAGAAAAAGAGTGAGGTGCACCTCTAAGATGCTGAGGGTGATTCTGTTTGAAGGGGTGGAATTTGGTGGCCTCCAGTTCCTCTGAGTGGGGTGAACATGTCTGTGAGCTTTGCCACCTGTAAGGCAAGAGCAGATGAAACAGTAGGAACTAGTAGAAGGGTTTGCCTCTTTCTAGAAGCCAGTCTGCTCACTGGCAAGAAAGAAGGTACTGGACTGGATTTTGGGGTTAACTTTTCCAGGTGGCCTTCATTAAGGATTTGAGGAGAGGTAGAGAGAACTCTGGTCTGGTGCTTTTCTCTTTCCCTATTTGTTTAGGTAGTAAAGAGAAGAGGGATAAGTAGACAGCAGGGCTGGCACAGTCTAGCTGGCTCATAGTGACATTAAATAAGAAAAACCCCAGAAGAGCCTTTGTCTTTGGGGGGAAAACAGTACCTAAATTGCAATTTTGTTGTTGCTGGTTTTGCTGTACTAGTATCTGACCTTTTGCTGTACTAGTATCTGACCTCTCGCCATCATCTTGCTGCTGGTGAACTCGGAAGCAAAGAAATGTGCCATTGACTGCTTTAGAATTGATGGTGTGTTTGAAGATGAGCATGTGTTTCAGTGTAGGCTTTTTTTTTTTTGTTGGA